TTTTCTCTTTCTACTGCATCAACAATTTTTTCTTTCCTCCTGAATCATTCCCATCAGCACACAATAATACATATTGTAATAGCTCTCATCTTTAAAAAGAACAGTCTTGTCACCCTTCATCTTCTTCCAGCTACTAATCCATTTTTCTTTTCCCGATTGATCCCCAAACTCCCAGCGTTGATTTTACCCACTGTCATCCAGTTCTTCACTCTTAGTCTCTTTTCAACTCAATTTTTCTAAATCCAACAGTCACTTCTAAATTCCTCATTCTACTCATCCTATTAGCAGTATTCAGCAAAATTGATCTCTCTCCTCAAAATACTGTACTCATTTACTTTCAAAGACCCCACTCTCCTAGCTTGCTCACCTTCCCAGTCACTCTTTCTTGGTCTCCTTCACTGACTCTCCCTTCTTTTATTGGCCTCTAAGTATTAAGATACCCTGAGGCACAATCTCTCAACATTCCTCTTCTCTTTATACCTTCATTTCCAAGTGCTTTAGTTCAGTACTCTGACTATAACTACTATTCACCCCAGTGGGTCCCAGTTGGGGCAATTGTGTCCCCAGGGGACATTTGGCAATGTCTGGAGACATTTTTGGTTGTCACAACTCGGAGCAGGTGCTACTGGACACCAGTGGGTAGAGGCCAGGGATGCTGCTGAACATTCCAAAATGCATAGAATGACAAAACAAAACACCCTCCACAGCCAAAAAGTAATAGTGTCAACAGTGCCCAAGTTGAGAAACACTGATTTACCCAGCCCTCCTCTCTGAAGTCTAGACTTACGTGCCCAAATTCCTACTCAAGATCTTCATTTGGATATTTAACAGACCGCTCAGAATTAACATGCCTCAAACTGAAGTTTGGATTCTCTCTTCCTTAGCCCAGTTTCCCTAGAAAACAGAACCTGAGATAGGACTTACATTTTAACGGCAGGGGTGATTCCCCGGTAGTGAGAGTAAGGGAAAAGGGAAATGAGATAGGGAAGGATAGTGTGCAAATACAAGGTGGTGAGTTACCAACCTGGCCACTCCTTCTTGAGCCACAAAGACATGCAGCCCTGTCATTAGATCATATGGTTGCTCATCCCTGAAAAAGATAAAGGGAGAGAGAATTTATCTACAGACTCCATCCTATCTTGTAAGACATCGGGCAATTAAGTTCGTGAGCTCATCTTAGAAAAAGTGCTACATACCTCATTGCTGAATATCACTACGGTCACCTTCGAAGTACTCCCCTTAGGGAGCTATGCACTGATGCCAGAGCCTAGTCCACTCTTCAAAACAACTTTGGAACTCTTTTTCTGGAATGGCGATCAGAGCTGTCGTCGTATTACCTTTGATGTCCTGAATATCATCCAAATGTCTTCCTTTCAATATTACCTTTATCTTCGGGTAAAGAAAGAAGCTATTGGGGGCCAGATCAGGTGAGTAGGGAAGGTGTTCCAATACAGTTATTTGTTTACTGGCTAAAAACTCCCTCACAAATAGTGCCATGTGAGCTGGTGCACTGTCGTGATGCAAGAGCCATGAATTGTTGGTGAAAAGTTCACGCAGCCTTTTTAGCACTTCTAAATACTAAACTTGGTTAACTGTTTGTCCAGTTGGTACACATTCAAAATGAATAATTCCTCTGATCTCAAAAAAGATTAACAACATTGTTATAACAAGTTCACGAACTTAATTGTCACACCTCTTATCTCCTACTGGGCAAGTCCTCACTGGTCCATTGAGTTAATGCCTCCACATGGTGTGTTGTTCACCTGGATCTTTGTGTGGCCTTGAGGAATCCAGATTCCACTCAATGCAGTGTGGTCAACCTCAAGAGGCAGAGCTCTGCTGCCCACACACAGCTGGCTGTTCCAGCAGCAGCTGAGGTAGCACAAGTTGCCACAGGGCAAGAAGAAGAGAGAGAAGGAGAGAATCTGAGGAGAGGCCTCAACTGCCCAATACAGTAATAAATAAGACACACAAGAGGCCTTATTTAAGTAAGAGCCAGGCTTTCTGTAGCTCACATTCTGGTGGGAGAGAAGCTATCCAATCCACTCTTCCAGGAAAGTTTTCTCATAGTTATATATATAACTATTCTCATAGTTACTAAGGCTAGGAGACATTCTTGAACTGTTCCCTCCTCCCCCCAACACACACATCCCAAACCCTGCCATCTCCATTTAAAAAATCTGATCCTATTCCAATCACTTCTCATAAGGTTACCACTCTCTCCCTTGTTTACACCATCACTGCCTGTGTCACTTAATAACCTGCAAACTCATGCCTTGTTTCCAGTAGTCAGAATAATCTTTAAACACAGCAGATCACGTTATGGCGCTATATGGGTCCAGGTCCTCCAACATCTTCCACAGCACTCAGAAGAAAGTGAAATATTCTCACATTGACCTGAGATGCCCTCCACTCTCTGGACCCTGCCTACCATTGTGACCTGCTCTCTACACGTTCTTCCTTGGCCACTTCTTTCTAGCCACATTGGCCTTCTTTTGTTTCTCAAATATTGGAAGCTTGTTCTTGCCATAGAGCCTTTGCATGGACTCTCACAGCTGTCCCTTTGATCTTGTTATTCCTTGCTTTCTCTCTTCTTGAAGTTCTTTGTTGATATGTTACCTCTGCAGAGAGGCCCTTCCTAGCCATGTAAATCTCTATTTGTCACTCTCTTTCCCTTTTTAAAAATTTTCTTTACCTGGCATTATAATGTGAGGTCTATTTGTTTATTATTGGTCTCTCCCAGCAGAATGCTAGCTCTGTGAAGTCTTAGGCCTCAGGTGCTTTAGTTATTACTGTGTCTCCAGGGGTAGAACATGTCTGACACACAGCTGGGGCTGAGCAAATCGTTGTTGAATGAATAAATACCTTCAGATCCTTACCAAGGGTGAGCTTGCATCAAGAATGATGAGTTCCTAGCTCAACAACTTTCTTCCAGGTTCTTGGAGGTCCATTCCTGGTCTAATCACATCTGCTAGGGATGTTGAAAACTTCCTGATCTTATTACACCCCCTAGTAAAGCCCTAACTTTAGGAACATGGGATCCCACCCAGTCTGTGAATTTTGTTTAGGATGGGAATCACCAAATGCTGAATCAGGGCGAGTGCATCCACATGATGCTAGGAGATGACAGTCGTAGAGGTGTTGAAAAGAAAGAAGGAAGTTACAAGCAGAGTGAGGTATGAGAGCAGGGTAGGGAACCCCAGGATTGCTGGGACATGGTCAGAAAATGTTTATCATGTCTAGTAGGGTTGTCTCCCATAGGACTGTAACAGCAGCAGCAGCAGCAGCAAAAACAAGGGACTTGAACACCTAAACTGAAGTTGAATAATACTGTGTGTAAACTATAATTATAGATAGATAGATAGATAGATAGATAGATAGATAGATAGATAGTCACGGGATATGGAGTACAGCATAAGGAAGATAGTCAATGGTATTGTAACCACTGTATATGATGTCAGAGGGTAGCAGCTTGGGGGAGGGGGTTTCTCACTTTGTGAGGGGTGTAAATGTCTAACTATTGTGTTGCTTTGTACACCTGAAACTATTTTTTTAAAGGGACTTGGCTATATTTCAGCGTACAGCTCCATGTTCTCTTTTATTTGCAACAAAACAGTAGTGCAGAAAGGTAGAGTTGGTGGGATAGAACGTGTGTGTGGAAGATGGGGAAAGGGCAGGATGTTATATGGGAAGGAGTTTAACAAGCGAACTCAATGTTCGCAAAAGAAAAGCTGGGGTTATGCTTAGGGAGGAGCAGAGGGAACAAATACTTTTATTTTTCTGAAAAGAACGCTGGAGTCTGAATCTGGAGGAGGGACTTAACTATTGTAGTTCCGTGCCCGGGATTACTGCACTGCCTGGACAGCCCCACTGAGGCGCCTGCTTTCCTCTGGCCACAAGAGAGATGCTTTTATTAAAGACGTGGGTGGCGTAGGCAGGGGGCCACGAGATCCGCGGTGGGGCGAAGGGGTGGTCCCAATGCAGCAGGGGGACCAATCATCGGCGACTCCGGGCTCTGGCCGCCTCCTCAGAGCCTCCGCCGCAGTTGAAGTACCGGAGCTGCTGGCTGCCGGCTCTCGTGCTGCAGGCGCCGAGGCGCAGCGCCTCCAAAGGCGCCGCTGGAGTCGCACTCCGAGTGCACCACGCACGCCCCGGCATCTGCTGCCTTGCGCCTATGTACGGACCCCTACCCGAAGGAGTTGCAAGCCTTGCAAGTGGCCCTGTGAGGCTCTAGGCGCGGAAAAGAGGCTGCGGGAGGACGGACGTAGGTGGGAGGTGGGCAGGTGCTTGCTTCTCAGCATCATTCCAATTAGCACCAAGTTGGCAGACAACCCCCAAAAACTCACGGAGCCTTTCGTGGTTGCCCACAGTCTCCGTATTTCAAAATAATCTGACCGTAAGAAAACTTGCAACTCCTGTCGTAGGTCAAAGAGGGACAGGCTCTTAGCACCACCGTCTCGCAATAACACTACATAGAACAAACCCAGTTGACCCTCAACGGCAGAGCTCTACCCAAAGTCCGCATCTCTCCGACTCAAGCGGGGAGGAGCTGGGTGGACCCCGCAGAGAGCCCCCTGCGGGAGGGGCGGGATGGCGCACCCAGCGTGGCAACCGAAGCTGATTACTGTGGGACTGCACAAACACAACCTCATCCGAGGAGTTTTGCCAGGAACAACCGCCTGCATTGCGTCGGACCTGACCATTTGAAATGTGGAATTCCCGGGGAAGGTCGCGGCCAGGGGCCGTGCGTGTGCGGTGCTGTGGTCCACAAGGGAACTAGAATTGGTGGTCGGCTTTTCTGGCAGAAGGAAAAAGCTGTGCAGGCAAGGGTGGGAACCGAATGACAACCCCCCTCTACCGAACCACCACCCCCTCATATTTTCCCTCTACCTCCTCGCTGTTGCCCTCCCCCGCCCTCCCCAACCCACGCCCGGGTGGGCCAATCGCTGCTCCGCACTCCAGGCGCTTTCTCAGGTTTCTGCTGATCTTGCAGCGCCCAGAAATGGACCGAGCAGACCTGCCGCCGCACGCACCCTGCCCCACTCGGTGCTCCTAACAGCTCCCCGCGCGCCTCTCAGCCTCGGCGAGATCCACGCGGGGGTGCGGAAGCGGAGGGCACCCGAGAGCCATGTAGACCCAGGCTCTTGCTCGCTCGCTTCCTTCGGGATCGAATCAAGGGCTCCCATAGTGTTCGGAGGGGGGCGAGAGTGCTGTTTATCGTCATTTGCTTCAGAGCTTCGGGAGAGGGTGGCATTTTGCTTTTCTGCCCCGCATCCTCCGGAACTCCCTACACCAGAAGAGAGCACGCCGTCTCCAGGTTGCTGGCAACGGGTGAGAATGGGGGTAGGGAGTGGACATTCCCCCTGTAGCTGCTCAGAAAAGCGATTGCCCGACTGAAGGGGCGTAGGACGAGGGGGCGAGGGCGGCGAGTTTGCCCCGGCGCCTCTCGGATGCTGCGGCGGCGGCCGCCGCTCCCGCCCGGGTACTGCAAAAGCGACCTGCCGCATTCCAACTCCGGCTCTCCGCGGATTCAGCACCTCCCCTGCGCCAAGCCGGCCGGCCAGGTAGGGGGCTCCCCAGTTCGGGGCTACAGCAGGGGTTGGGACGATGGGGGGGCGGGGGTGTAGGAATGCTGCCTGGGACCTGGCGCTCCCCCAGCGTCTCCCGGCGCTTTCCCGATCTCTAGTTTAACGAAGTTGTAAACAGATCGGCTCTTGGGCATTGGGGAAAGTGGGATGGAAGAGCCCCAAACTTGAATTTCCGGGTGACTGTGTGTGTCTGTCTGTGTGTATGTCCAGCAAAAGTCCAGTGCTGTCTAACAAAGCTAGAGGTCTGTGCTCTTCGGTGTCTGTAGGTCCGTCCCATCTAAATGCTTCTGATTTTCTACCCCCGTATCACTTTCTATTTCTCTGCAGCGTCCATCGATCGCCCTGGTGGGAGCTTAGAAGGCGGCAGGCGAAGAGGGGTAGGAGGGGGGAGAGCCGAGGAGAAACAGAGGGGTTGTCAGGCGAGGGGATCTGCTGAGCTGGCTCTGCACCCGGTCCTAGGAGAGCTCGCGGAGGGGAGGGGAGGCCAGGGTGACCCCGAAGCGATGGCCCAGCCCTCTAGAACAGCACTGCGTTAAGGCACCTCGGAGCAGGAAGAAACACCAGCCCTCCCCCCACCCCAACCCTGGGGAAAAAGCTGCAACCGGGGCCGCAGGCGAGGGGGATTCCAAACAGAGCAAAAGGTAGGGTGGAGAGGAAGGGAACCAGAAGCGAAGTCGCAGATATCTCCACCGGCAGGCTTCGAAGCCCCTCCCCCTGAGCGTGGGGGAGACGCGAACTCCGGTGGGGGGGGCGCTTGAGTCCCCCCCACCCCTCCTCTCTCCGTCCTTCCCACCGCTGGCCCTCTCCTGGTCTCTCACCCCTGCACACGGCTTCCACCATGACGGTGATGTCTGGGGAGAACGTGGACGAGGCGTCCGCAGCCCCGGGCCACCCCCAGGATTACCCCCGGCCCGCCGACCACGAGGACCACGAGTGCTGCGAACGCGTTGTGATCAACATCTCCGGGCTGCGCTTCGAGACGCAGCTCAAAACCCTGGCGCAGTTCCCCAACACGCTGCTGGGCAACCCTAAGAAACGCATGCGCTACTTCGACCCCCTGAGGAACGAGTACTTCTTCGACCGCAACCGGCCCAGCTTCGACGCCATCCTCTACTACTACCAGTCGGGGGGCCGGCTGCGGAGGCCCGTCAACGTGCCCTTGGACATGTTCTCGGAGGAGATCAAATTTTACGAGCTGGGCGAGGAGGCCATGGAGAAGTTCCGGGAGGACGAGGGCTTCATCAAGGAGGAGGAGCGCCCCCTGCCCGAGAAGGAATACCAGCGCCAGGTGTGGCTGCTCTTCGAGTACCCCGAGAGCTCGGGGCCTGCCCGAGTCATAGCTATCGTCTCCGTCATGGTCATCCTCATCTCCATCGTCATCTTTTGCCTGGAGACTCTACCTGAGCTGAAGGATGACAAGGACTTCACAGGCACCATCCACCGCATCGACAACACCACGGTCATCTACACTTCCAACATCTTCACGGACCCCTTCTTCATCGTGGAAACCCTGTGCATCATCTGGTTCTCCTTCGAGCTGGTGGTGCGCTTCTTCGCCTGCCCCAGCAAGGCAGACTTCTTCAAAAACATCATGAACTTCATCGACATCGTGGCCATCATCCCCTATTTCATCACCCTGGGCACCGAGATAGCTGAGCAGGAGGGGAACCAGAAGGGCGAACAGGCCACTTCGCTGGCCATCCTCAGGGTCATCCGGTTGGTAAGGGTTTTTAGAATCTTCAAACTCTCCCGCCACTCCAAGGGCCTCCAGATCCTGGGCCAGACCCTCAAAGCTAGTATGAGAGAGCTAGGGCTGCTCATCTTTTTCCTCTTCATCGGGGTCATCCTGTTTTCTAGTGCAGTGTACTTTGCCGAGGCGGAAGAAGCTGAGTCGCACTTCTCCAGTATCCCCGATGCTTTCTGGTGGGCGGTGGTGTCCATGACCACTGTAGGATACGGTGACATGTACCCTGTGACAATTGGAGGCAAGATCGTGGGCTCCTTGTGTGCCATCGCTGGTGTGCTGACAATTGCCCTGCCCGTACCTGTCATTGTGTCCAATTTCAACTATTTCTACCACCGAGAAACTGAGGGGGAAGAGCAGGCTCAGCTGCTCCACGTTAGCTCCCCTAATTTAGCCTCTGACAGTGACCTCAGTCGGCGCAGTTCCTCTACTCTCAGCAAATCTGAGTACATGGAGATCGAAGAGGATATGAATAATAGCATAGCCCATTATAGGCAGGCCAATATCAGAACTGGCAACTGCACCACAGCTAACCAAAACTGCGTTAATAAGAGCAAGCTACTGACCGATGTTTAAAAGCCAAGCAAACAAAAAAAGCCCACTTAGCCCGCTTGAAAGACTTAAAAAACAAAACAAAACAAAAACCCTAGTGACCCATGTCACTCTTTGTCGATACTTTACTAAATAGTTTTTGAATGCTCTATTTAACTGTCAATGCATTGTTGCATTGTGGATTTTGGGGGCGGCCAACCAGAAGCTTCCAAGATCTGTGAAAAACAAACAAAACAAAAAACTATTTTCATTTTATTAAAAAATGGGAAAAGAACATGTATTTTCTAAAACTGGTTTAAAAAATTCAGTTCATGAGCTAGTCTAGGTAAAATAAGATTCATAGGCTTCCCCACACTGAAACATTTGTAATCCTTGGGCTTCTTTAACTTTTTTCTTTTAACTAAAAACCAGGTGATCACTTAGAAATATAAAATTAAAAGTTGCATGGGACTCCGATAGAAAAATCTTTGCCAACTGCATAGCACATTTAAGACAGTGCATCTGATGTATTATATGTAACATGATAGACAAGCCAAAATTGGCAATGAACAAATGTTTTCGTTTTGATCAATCAAACTGCATATTATAAGACGAAAGAAAAAAACAAACAAAATTACTTAAGACTGGTTCACAAAGCACCTTATCAATTTGATACTAGTCCTGGTCTGTAGGGATTTTCCTTCTGCCCCATTCCCCTTCTAGCCAAACTATCCCCTAAGAAAAAGATACTGAATTAAATTAATTGATTCATCTGCAGTGCTGCTAAGTTTCTCACCTGCAAATGAACCCAACACAGGTCTTTTCTCACTGGTCCTGTACCCTGACCCTGGCCTTCAGAACTGGATGTAAAACCTTAGCCTCCTTATTGCAAGAGAGCACAAATAGAGTTAAATGTAAGCATGTTTGATTCTGATAATATTTATTTTATAATCGCATGCTGAGAACGTTAACTCAGACAATAGGGGATAAGCTTACGTTTGAATTGACTCTTCTAAAAATAGATCCTTTTTCATTTGCATTCACCAAAAGTGCACTCCTTCATTTAACTATTTTATTCATAAATAAAGTACTGTATTTAAGTGCATATGTTAGTCAGATGGGAACAATAACTTTTTGGAGCTCAAAGCATGTTCTCTTATTCAGTATTATGGACTATTTGATTAAAGTGTACCTTGAATTAATTAATGCATGATTTCAGTAAAAAAAATTTAAAAAATAATAAAAATTACAAGTTTGTGGGATGAAGGGCCCAAAGATATAGTGGGGGGGTGGGGGTGGGGGCACTCAGTCAATTTTCCTGCCTTTGCTCAGGGAAATATCAGGTTTCTGTGCAGGTATAGGCAGAGAAAGGACCAATATGCCCATCTTTTAAAGGGAAGCTATACAGAAAACTAAAGAAGTCATCCAAGTATATATAGCAACACCTAAGAACAAGTATTCTTTCTAGCTGAAGATAAACACAAGCAAAACAAACACAACAAACAAAAAAAGGTGCAATACTGCATGTTTTTGGTGCATTCTTAAGATGTAAATGAAAATGTTTATCTATTGTATGCATCCAAAGCAGAGCTGATTTCTTTTTGCAGTCATGACTTGAAGTCTGTGGAGACTTCGTCCCTCTCCTTGAGTCTCCCTGAAGAAACTTAACCAATTGATTTCATAGTTGCTTAGTGCCTTTATCCTGTACCCACAGCGAACTGCAGAAAAGTGCCTCCGTTAACACAGCTGAGAAGTTATGTAACAAAGGGAGGAAGGGTTGGGGCACAGATATTTTGCTTTTACTTTTGCCATCCTTGCTGTCTCACTTCACCACTGTGAGAAGACCACATCATCCTGAACCCTGGAGAGGAGCGATACAGGAGGGTGCTGTTTCTCTGGCCATCCTCTGGACTGAGTCCCTTTGGCAGCCTGATGTGAGATGTAAACTGGGACCTGAGACCCAGCTTCAAACTGGACATGAACCATGAACTTGTTTTATTTTATTTTTTTGGTCTCCACCAGAAGCCAAGATAAACTTTTTGGGAATTTATTTCCTATCAAGGGTCACTCTGGACATTTAAGGCTTCCTCAGGTCCAGTGTAGTGTTTCTTGTGCATTTCCTTATTCCTTCTCTGTTAGCAACAGTACTTTGCAAATCTCGAATAGTCTGATCTTTCTAGGCATCGTCGTGGCTGTGGGAACATTCAGTTCAGACTAACCTTTCCTAGGCCCTCCTTTCTGGCCCACTCCCTTCAGATGTTTTCTATGATGCTCCTATGATCTTCTCACCTGGCAGTCACTTCACAGGCTGAGCATCTAACTTCTACCACCCCCGGCAACCCGTGCAGAGAACAGCTGGGACCCTCCGCCTAGCTAAAAGAGGGCCACGTAACACAGGCCTCTGGGGTCCAGCAGCTGTCCACCAATGGAGAGGAGCTCACCATCTTTTTAAGGACACCAGTGGGGATCTTCATTCTGCACTTAGCATGGGGCCGCCTGCCGCTGACCACCTTACATTCTTGTCCTGCTTCTGGAAATCTCCCCTGTTACCTCCAATCCTTCCCCCACCTAATCCTAGAACTAGCAGTGAGGCAGTAAACGAAGAAACTAGAATAATGCTCAGGCTGGCTGAGTCTGTGGAAGGAAAAAGCATGGATATTTTATTTTCCTGTGCTGCTCATGTGACTCTGTAAGACTAATGTAACATCATGGAAGATGAGGGGCCAAGGACTGCACACCTCTGACCACAGGCCATAAACCTTCCTCTGTGATGTTTCCTTCTCTTTTCAACCTTGACTCATCCTGGCTATTCCTCTCCTATCTGCTTAAAATCCCCAGTTGGGAAAAAAATGCCAACCTCCCCCAAATTTCCGGGGATATCTTGATCTTTTATTTAGACTCTGAGGTCTAGGACACACAGAGCTTGAAACACTGCACTGTCAACAGCAATAATCCACTCAGTACTGTGGGATGGATGGGTCAGAGGATGAGAAAATGGGACCAAGCCTGATTAGATGGACTTTGGCTACCTGGTATACCTCTCGTAGTTAGACACTGGACTGGTGATTCTTCTGCATGTGGAACAGGGGAAAGTGCTGCATGCAGTGAACCTGTCAGCCTGGGATTGGGAATGAGTTGTTGGTGTGAATTTGGGAGGTATGGGGAAAAAAGAGTGCTGCTTATCCATCTGTAGCTCATTGCAACCAAGTCAGTAAGAATGGAGTCCAGGGACTATCTGTGTAGCATAGGCATGCGGACTTTGACAAAGCTCCTCCCCCTGCACTGTACTGTGCTGAAATGTTTTTGTAGACCTGAAGGTGCACTTAACAAAACTGCCTATTAAGGAATGACTCTCTTTTGGTTTATTTCCTTATATTTATTTCATTGGGCTTTTTACCTTCTCACTCCCTTCCTAGGTCTTGAGCTTTAATGGCTCATGTCCTGACTACTTGTTTTCTCCAAAAGGAGAAGACTTCTGACTTGCTGATAGCCATAGCTCGGCTCTTCCAGTGTTTGGGGGCCCTAGTTCAATAGGGTGGCCGTGGAAGGGCTGGGTCACATCAGGGCTGTTAGCCATCCCAGAATCTCTGAAGTGATTAACTCACCTCAAGTGATCTGAATTAGAGAGACCAAAGACATTAATTTCCTCTGTCCTCAGATTTGTAGAAGACAGATTGTAACCAGGAAAGGTTTTTGTTTTCGCTTCTCCTCTCCCCCATCTGTGCACAGCCCTCCATGCTCCCCCTTGAGAGTTGAGTTCTGATCATCAGTTAAAACAGTTCATTGGGAGTGTGTTACTGAGTGAGTCTAGCAAAATCAAATGAACCACTAGCAGATTCTTCTCCTGGAATATGGCCAATCGACAGTCAATCCTCTGAAATCAAAATGTGCAGGAGGTTTAGATTCCGCTGCCGTGGGACCCAAGCACCAGTGCCATCAGTCTTGACTCACTTGAGAGTTTTTTTAAAATGCATGCAAATGGTAAGTGAGGAATAGATTTCTTTAGGTAGAAATTTGGTTTAGTCCATACAGGACCATCTTCACGTTGTGTGTGGTTCGTTACAGTTTTTTCAAATTAGTTAACATTAGAAGAGTCAGTAAAATAGTTTCCCAACCCTCCCATTTAATATAGGAGACCTCAAAACACATGCTTTAGAACAATTTTATGATAGAATTTTCCTTGTTTGGTAGATTAGATTGAACAGAAAAAAGAGAACATCAGCAGAAGGCAATTCCCCATTTTTTTCCAGGAACTGCTTATTCCTGGGAGTGGTGAGAATTGGTGGTTGGTAACCATCCATAATATAAAATTGTTAGAAAGAATATAAACTGCCAAACAGCCGTTTTACCTTCCCGCTTCTTCCAGAGAGGATGAAATCTTTCTATGCTTATGTTCACTTGAAGAAGGCAAACTATAATTTGTAAACCAGTCACAACCCAAGTGGAATTGCTATCTCAGGAGTGGTCCTCATCCACCATGGGGTGGATTAGTCCTCGTATTTATATTATGGAATTTCAGGGTACATGCGAACATGTCCAGCATGACTCAGGTAACTCTTAGGAGAATGTACATTATTTATCATTTTTGTAAAGAAGCAAACAAGAGCTGAGTTATTAACCAAAACTGTTCCATTACCTTGGGTCACTGTGCGAACTCATTCAGGGTACACGTGCAAGGTTTAGAGAGCTTAGCATCGCATGCCAGTCTCTTTGCTCAGACAAAATGACCATGGGCTTCCTTGGGAAGTCCAGGGTGTAGGTAAGGGGTGAAGCCCTGCTGACCTCAGGACTATTAGCTTTAAAAAGATTAGCCCTGGTCACAGTGATTTTCATTTAGGAGCTAACTAGGAGTTTACTTTTTATGACATGAGACTTCAAAGAGTATAGAAAAGTTTTGTGCCATAACCAGAGAGGAAAAAGAAATGGTGTAAGAAAAGAAAACGAAACAAATCACAAAATCCCTTGCAAACTAGTCCAGGTCAAAACCTGTCTCCTCTCCCAAACATGCAGAAACATCTTTCTTCTCTTCAGTGCACTGTTTGATGCAGCAGCTCTAAGTAGTCAGCATGGACTCTAGGTGACATACCTCTAATAGTAAAGTACTACCAAGGTCAAAAATAAAAATCGAGTAGTATTAATTAAAAGTGCACCATCAGGACAACAAACCATTTAAGCTAAAAAAGCACTCTTTTATTTCTTGAGTTTGCCAGTTGCTTCCACCTTGAGTTGAGGATGTGTCTCATTTTCACCTACTGTACATTTCCCCTGCCCTAACTGTTTAATATGTCAGGTAGAGGACGTTGAATGTTATGAATTGAAAACCTAATTGAAGCGCATAGTTTTCATCTATGCAATTTTACTTGCTTCTGTCACTTTATGATCTGTTCATATTTGGCATCAATTAAAGATAATTTTTAAGGATCTTATCAAGGAATATCTTGACTGGTTATTTGTCTCTTGTTTAACTGGCCTTTTGGGACCCCTTTCTTGTGGGGTCTCTTTAAATAACATGATGAATCCAGGATAAAATCATGAAGCAGCCTTGTGTTATTTGAAATTCCTAAACTGTTTCTTCTATACAAGGAAATACATTGATTTTGACAATAAATTTACAGTTTGGACTCAGGTAGGATCCCAAGGAGAGGCCTTTGGAATTTGGCCTATGAAAGCAGTGAGGATCAAGCTTCGAAAAAGGAAAAAGAAATGAGGCCCAAGGGAGTAAAGTAATTGATTATATTCACTTAAATTGCTTCTGATTTGAAACTATAGTTCATTCATAGTTTAAGCTTTTCTGGGAGGATAATTGTGTGTGTGTGTGTGTGTGTGTGTGTGTGTGTGTGTGTGTGTGTGTATGACAGCGCAATGGCTTGGTATCAAATAACTTGACGGTTACAAAATGGTGTTGGAAGTAAGTGATTTACATGTGGACAAAATGATCCCTACCTGTTCTTTACACAGACTTTCCCACAAAGTTGTATGTGTGGTTAACATGTCTTTCTTCCTGTTTTTGTTTTTTTTTATGACTTGGTGCATTTCCTTTTGATTTTTCCTGAGATTTAAAAGTTCTCCTTTCTCCCTTGTGAATATCATATTTTATATAAGCTCTTTTATGTCCGAGCAAACAGGGTTACATGCTTTGCGATAGGTGTCTGTTATATGCCAAATGCGTTAGGTGGTTGGGCTGGTGCGTCATCATAAAAATGTATTGCATTGTGATGGGCTTCAATGGTAAGATTTGAAGATGAACCTTGCTTTTGCTGTAAACGTTGCTACTGAAAGTAGACCATGAGGCTGGGCAGGCTGCCCATGATTTTTCTGTTGTGGTCAGAAAACAAGCCAGGCAGTGTCCTGACAGACAAGGGTAAGAGAGAGCTAGAACCACATCAATGGCGGTGGGCAAATGAGCCAGGTCATTCACAACCCTGAGTGTGATTCTCAAAGCCCAGCCTTGGAAAGGGCTTCTTGAAGCCGAAGCAGACAGATCCAGGGAGCTGCAGGGAGAGAGGGCTGTAACTGGAAACGTGATTGTTTACAGAGCTTCCAAAAGAAGTCAAATCACTTGTAAGAGATGCCAACCAGAGGAGTTGAGAACAGAGAGCTGATGTCACCTGATCCCAGCCACTTTGTCACCTGGTAGGGAAGCTGGCGGCTGCTTCCTGCAGTCAGTGTAAACTTGTCCAGCGCCCACCCCCACCCCTAGCTTTGTCTGTGGAGGTAAGGCTAACCCTGAGGCTGGGCAAAGTGTGCCCCTCTGCAAAGTCCTATTGCAGACCTAGGACAGTGTGGTCACACCACACAACTGGAGAACAGCCCTCTGAACCAGTTTAAATGCAGATAACTGAAGATATCCTATTTAATTAACTGAATCTAATATACCATTGATTTTAAGATGCACCATTGCTTGAAATATTCATAAGAAACAGAGAATGTTGATCGTTATGACCCACCATTGCATTGATTCATTCCAATTTTAGAGATGTAAAAATGTAAAAACAAAACAAAAGGAATCATAGAATTGATGAACTACAGTGATTGTAATGTTTGTCCTCCTTTGTTTTCTGGTGTGATAATACGTTTGCATTCCAAACCCATTAAATTTCGCAGTTTCCTTCAGACCTGAACCTTGGCTAGAACCCTGAAGTCTTCTTTTAACTACCTTTTTATCCCTCAGTGTTTGTGCTCAGCCATGCCCTTAACTTAGGCCGTGTAGGAATGTTTTGGAGCTTCGTGTCGTCATGCTGTTTAGCATCCACAGATCACTGACCCCATGAGGACCTCCGATTTCATCTGGCTGGAAGGAGGTTTGGTCTTGCTGCTCCCCCTCCCTTGCACCTTAATAGCCCTCCTTCCATTACCAGATGTTCAGAACCGTCAGCAGCCCTTGGCTTTTATCACGTTAACGGCAATCTGACACTCATTCCCAGTGAGCTGCTAATAGCAACACCTCCAGTGTGTCTAGCTGTCTTTGCAGTTTTCAGATCACTTCCACATTAATTATATTGCTTTACTCTACTTCGTGAATTAGGTAGGGCTGATATTGCTGTCCTTGTTTTATAGTCCAAGGGACTGGCCCAGAGTTGCTGAGTGGAGGGAGCAAGCCTAGGCTTCTTGATGGTTCCGTGGTAGGGACTGTGACTACTTACTGAGTTCATGGAATCCTGGAATGTGTCCTGTCTCTTGTTAAAGAAAGACTGGTGGGTTTTGCATAGGGGTGTAGGTTCTCTGAGCCTTCAAATTGCTCATTTCTAAAATGGAAATGTAATACACATAGGGTTGTATGGATTGAATGAGATAATTTAGGTTAACATGTTTGGTAAATTTAAAGGTGTTCTATAAATGTGAGATACTAATAGATATATTATTAATTATAATGATGAAAAGAGGAGCACAGGGAGGAGGCCTCTGAATAACTCCTCCTCAGAGGAGAAGCTGCACTTTAAAAGGAGACTCCAGGGAGAGCGGATGCTTCACGCCAAGATTCACTGTATTGTGGTGACACTTGAAGACCTGGGACAGAGGTGTTTTCAGCAGGAATCTTCAGTACATCCTGCATCTAAGGCCAGGCCTGCAGCAGCCCCACAGAATGCTCAGCTGCTATTTCTAGTTTCTATCTCCTTTGCCCTGAGACATAATACTATTTTTACATCTCCAGACCCCAAATGTGAAGGGTAAACTCTGTCCTGCGTAAGTTGAGGAACCAGAGGTATCTTTAATAATTTACATCTCTTCTGATTGCCTCATTTCTCCCATGTGCACAATATTGTGTGATTTGATTTTTTTTTCTTTCCACCTGTGAATATTGAGAAATAAAGCAAGATGTTGTTTGCAAAGTTTTCTCATATGCTTGTCTGAGAGACATTGTATAAATATAAATACCTATTCTTAACTTTCTTTGCCCAAAATAAAACCCCCGCAAGCATACATGAGTCAATATAGTTTTTCCTTGAATAGCACATACTACGAAGATGCTTATAAAAATTTACAAACTGTAACATCTCTACAGTGGTCCAGCTCTTCTTTCTTAAGACCAATTGGATAAAATAGCTGTGATTTAAATAGCAGTATGACTTTTATCTGCTTTTTTTAAGGAATGTCATTGCAATTAAGTAAGGAGTTGAGTATCCGTTAGAATCTTTGCTTCATGAAATATTTTTATAGAGAATAACATTCGGGGGCTAGATGGAATTCTCAAGCTTACTAATGATTTTTTAAAATAGATTTTATGTGGTATTTTCATGTTTGCTGTAATAGATAACATTCTCAACGTTGTTTCAAGTGCTGAGCATTAAATGCATTTTAGGAATGTTTCCAGAGAAACTAATTTCAGTTGAAATTTATTTTTTCAGAATTGGAGTCAGGGTGATCAATGAGTAGAGGCTTAAGCTTAGGATAATTACGTTTTGAGCTCAGGGCCAAATCCAACTTTTATTAAAAATGTTATTCCTCAATATATTGAGTTAAGCATATTTGAAAATCCAAGATACTTTTATCTCTATAATGTTTTTTTATTTTTATTTCATACAATATTATTATTTCACTGTTTCAGAAAGGAAGTAATTTTGTTATAATGAATGTCAAAGAGAATATCTCTGAGACTAAGATTCACCCCACCAAATGTTCCCTCTTCATTAACAAGCAAAATATGTGTTTTGTTTTGTTTTTTTATCTTAGAAAAAGTTGTGTGTATAAAGGGATGCCCAGCTGAGTTTTTGAAAGATCACAGGATATTGGCTTACTGTTAAATGACATTTCCAGTTAAGATGGGATAGCTTTCTGAGTTTTCAGAGGATGAAGATCACATTTGTTGGCATTTAGAAAAGAAAGCTTATTCTTAATGGATAAAGATGAGTACTCTAAACATCCTATAATCCAATACTGATAATTCAGAAAACAGAAGAGTTGAACTTTATAGCATACATAATGATTAGTGTGTTGGAAGAACAATGCTTGTCCACTGTAAGAATTCCAAGTGGTGCAGTAAAGCAGTGATTCAAGACAGTGACATATGCTGAGTGGGCAACAAGGGGTTGTTGAGCACAACAGAGGCAAATACTTCACTTTAATTATAATTCTTAAGAGTTTGCAGCAAGGTAAAATGAAAACAATAAGGTGTTGACTGCATGAAGGTGGAAAGTTTGGCCAGGACAGCTTCAAGGACAGTCTTTAGTTTTAAGATGGATGATTAGGAAACAGGCTGACACTGGCTTACCTGTTGCACAATAAGCGCAGTACAATTGCTGATGGTTATTATGGTGACTAAAATAGCAGCTCACCAGTTAATGGGATTTACTGTTAAGTGATGCACTGTTATGCTGTTTTGAAAAGGCCATATAAATTGTCTTATAGGTTAATTTACTGCATTTAGTGATCAGCCAAATTGTAATGGAAATGTTGTTGGACTCGGCACTAAATTATCCAGGAAATCTGCTGGTGTTCAGTAAGATAGATTCTTTATCACAGATTGTATAGGTGGAGTCCTACAGAAGAAGAGGAATTCATTAGATGACTTTATGGTCTGATCTCAGCCTTAGAATTCTAGTGTTCAAAACTAAAGAACAACTTTTCCATAGGTCCCAAATGTACATACCAACCTAGAGGGAAAATGATTAAAGATGATTTTTAAAAAACAAAGTCTACAGCTGAAACTAATTCTAAAAAATGTGTATTTCACAATAAAAATAATTAAAAAAAGACAAAGTCTTGTATAGGTAATAAGGATAGCCATATTTCATTTAAATGTGGTTCCATCATATATGATGATTTTATATTAAGCATAATTTCCTCCATTCACAGAAAGTATACAATTACTTTGTGAATGGAATTATAATCAATAATGTTGTAAAGGTTTTGTAGGGGGTCAGATGGGCACTTGTCTTATTAGGGAGACCACTTCATGGACTGTGTAGATGTCTGACCACTGTGTATA